GTCGCCTCGGGCGGCCTGACACGAGGAGGGCGGCGGCGGCTCGCGGGCGCGAGGAGGCGGCGCGAAGCGGGCCGCGGGGGCCGGCGATGGGCCTGCCTGGGCCGGCGGCGCGGGGCGGTGAAGTGGGCGCGCCCGGGCCACGTGGTGGCACCGGGTTGGTCGGCGGAGGCGGCGGACGCGTCCGGCTCCGTCCGGATGTGTCCGGAGGCGGCGGAGATGATTATTTTAGGGTTTGGACGGGGGAGATCCGGAATTTCGAGGAGGGGTCTATTTATAGGCATAGAGGGAGTTAGGAGTGTCCAAATGAGGTGTGGTTTTTGGCCACGCGATCGTGATCGAACGCTCTAGATGATGGAAAGGGTTTTGGTGGGTTTTGGGCCAACTTGGAGGGGTGTTGGGCTGCAACACACGAGGCCTTTTCGGTCCCTCGGTTAACCGTTGGAGCATCAAACGAAGTCCAAATGGTACGAAACTTGACAGGCGGTCTACCGGTAGTAAACCAAGGCCGTTTGGCAAGTCTTGGTCCAATCCGGAAATGTTTAACCCCCACACACGAAAGAAAGGTAGAAATGACCACCGGAGGAGAACGGAGCGCCGGAATGCAAAACGGACAACGGGGAAAATGCTCGAATGCATGAGACGAACACATATGCAAATGCAATGCACATGATGACATGATATGAGATCCATGACAACGATAACAACACACGGAGACAAAAACCCGAACCCGAGAAAATAAAATAACTTAAGGCCGGAAACGGCAAGAGTTGGAGTACATATTGGGTAAATCATATCCGGGGTGTTACAACATCGCTGACTTCTTGCATCACTGCGTGCTGCCTTGTCGAGCTCTTTACTAGCTAAGGTTTAGTACCGGAGAATGTCAAAACATTTGTGCTCGAGTAAAAAAGGGTGCAATCAAGAATTATACGAGGAAATAACTAAGTCACTCGGAGGAGGAGGTCAGGGGCTCATGCACGCCGATCTAGGGATTTAGACTTGGGACGACTACACCAACCGGAGGTGGATGTTAGAGCTCATGCATACCGATCTAGATATTTAAGCTTGGGCACTGGACGTCTGGACTATATTTTTTCATAGTGTATTTTGTGTTTTTTGCTGAGTACATGGGGTATATGGGCCAATGGTAAAATCTCAGAGTGGATCATCCTAGCCACCCCATGGCTACGCCAGTGACGGGGCCATTAGGGTGGTGGTGGGGGTGTGGGGGGGCCATGGATCCCCAATGCTTTCTAAAACCACCCCTAAATTGCTTTTTTGGCAGAAAACATCCGATCTATTCATTTCAATCATGTTGGTACAACAAACATAAAAAATAATCAAAATTACATCTAGATTCGTAGACCACCTAGCAACGACTACAAGAACTGAAGTGAGCCGAAGGCGCGCCGCCGTCATCGCCTCTCTCTCACCAGAGCCGGGCTAAACTTATTGTAGTACACAGTTGGAAAGTCGTCTTGCTAAGGCCCCATAGGACCAGCGCACCAGAACTGCAACAGTCGCCGTTGAAGAGTAGCGTAGATCAGAAGGATCCAACCTAAAGACACATGAACGTAGACGAACTACAAGCATATCCGAGCAAATCCATCGAGAACAGATCCGCCGGTTACACACCTCCACATGCCCACCGATGATGCTAGATGCACCACCGGGGCGGGGGCTAGACGAAGAGAATCTTATTCCATCTTCAGGGAGCCGCCATCGTGTTGTCTTTCTGAATAGGACACAAACCATAACAAAACTTAAAGGAATATCTAAAAAAGAAGCCCTCCTGCCGGTAAGGGTCGAGATCCACCACGCCGCTATGGCCCTAAATCCACCGGAGACGAGGCGAACTGACGGTGGCGCTGACGGGAGGCAGAGAAGCCCTGGTCTTTTTTTAGGGGAGGAGAGCCACCCCTATATTGCCTATACTATCAAAACGAAATGTTCATAGTTCTTGTGTTTGCCCCCCTCCAACATTTTATATCTTTCACTAGCTCCCCTTATATGGGATTCCTTGGTCCGCCGCTGGCTACGCCATGGGTGAGCCTTGTAGCCGCAACAGACAACCTATCTGATATATCACTATATCTGTTAAAAGTTTCCATATAGAACAAGTAGAAGCAACATACATGTAACATGCTACAAATTTTCTAATCAAAATTTTAAATAAGCAGGTTGAGAGATAAAAGTAAAAATCTCTTTGCGAATATATAGTAGCCAACCCTCACTCGCAAAAAAAAGAGAAAAAAAAGTAGCCAACCCAAGTTAGACTGCAATGTCAGGGTTTGCCTTTTCGGTTTCTTGTGGTGCGTTCCCAATCTGGATTTGAGATTTCACCATAGTACTCCCTCCGGTCCTTTTTAGTTCGCATATAAGATTTAACTAAAGTCAAGCCTCGTAAAGTTTGACCAACTTTATAGAAAAAAGTGCCAACATTCACAATCTGAAATCAATATCAATAAATGTGTCATGACTTAAAGTTTCATATTGTATAATTTTAGCATGGCAGATGTTGATATTTTTTCATATAAATACGGTCAAACTTTATGAAGTTTGACTTCAGAGAATTCTAATATGCAGAGTAAAAAGGACCGGAGGGAGTATGACGGGCACATGTTTCTACGGCCTCAGTTTTTTTTTTTACACCGCAACACTTTCAGACAGAGTGAGTGAGATCGGAGACGATGGGTGCACCAAGTCCCGGTACATCCACATCCACCATCTACTCTCAGTCTCTCACTATGCATGTGTATGAAAAAGCCCCAAACAAAAATCGAAAACATAGGCTAGGGCTGTCCTGTCGCGCACATACCAGGTGAGAACAGGGCACATTCCCGTCCTCTGCTTCCCCATCCCCGGTGTACACGCGTGTACTGCGCTTGACCCCCCAATTAAACTCCCACAGACCGCGCACATTCCCGGCATGTGATCCGCAGTCACCACCCGCGGCGCCATGTCGCGCATGGACCGCCACTGTGCAGCTCACGGCGGCAGGGACCATCCATGGCTCCAAACCGGAGCTAGGTACGCCGCCCCCCGCCGCACTTCCCCTGTACACGCACACGATCATATAGCAGCAGCAGACGTCGACGACGGTCCGGGCTCCGCATGCACATTCACACGCCCCCACTCCACGCGCTATCTCGTCGATCGGCTTTGCCTGATCTGCCCATGGATCGAGTGTGGAAGCACCGGCGAGAGTTTCAACGCCTACACCCAGGGGTGCAGGTGCAGCACACACAAACGTAAAGGCCTCCGATCGAGCTTGTATATAAGCGGCCCCAGGTGGTGGCCGCTCCGTTTTCTTCAAGAAGGTGACATGGGCGCACATTGACATTAGGCAGCTGCTGCCATTCGTCTTTCCCCTCCTTCCACATCCCAGTCTTCTCCACCCACGCCACCAAACCCCCGAGATCACGCGAGCTATATATACTGCATATTCTCCCGGCCCTGCAAAGCGAGGCCTCTATTACTTACTGATATACCCGCCGAAATCAGGATGGGGCTGCGGACCTGCGGCGCCATGGAAGGTGAGCACGTTGTCGCCTCGCCTTTCTTCGAGTGGTTGAAGCCGCCGCCGGCGTCGCCGTCCTCGTCGAGATCGTCGTCGACTTTCTCGTCCTCGTCGTCGTCTATGGCGTCTGGGCACCAAGAGGATCGCAGCAGCGTGGCATGCTTGCCCCTGCTCCGCATGCTCGAGGAGGGGAAGGGGGCTGGTGGTGACCATAAGCACCCTGCGCCTGCGGTCAAGGAAGAGATCATGGGCAGCGGCGCGGCCGGGGTGCTGGGGCCTGGCGTGGATCTGAATATCGGCTTGCCGGTTGGTGGATCTTGCGATGATGACATCATGGAGGAGGAGGAGGGCCAGGAGGAAGATGATGACCACGACTGTGACGAAGAGGAGGAGGAAGAGATGGATGAGTTGGAACCTACCCATGGAGCTTGCAAGGTGGAGGCAGAGGAGAAAGAGGAGCACGGCGAGCCGGTGGTCTCGGTGGAAGGAACAAACAGCGTCAGCATGCCGGAATTCGGCGTGGTCGGAGCAGAGGGCGGCGTGCCCATGGGCTGCGAGTACTGGATCCCGACGCCGGCGCAGATCCTCGTCGGCCCGGTGCAGTTTGTCTGCCATGTCTGTAACAAGAGCTTCAACAGATACAATAACATGCAGGTAAACTAAATGATGTCTATTTTGCATGCTCTTTTAGATTACCACTCGCCTTAGTTATTGTTAGTTCTGTTTTCACTTAAGCCATGATTCGATTGATTTTGTGATAACCTTGACACGCAAAAACAAGAGATGATCTAGAATTGTTGTTTAATTAGCTGGTACGTACGTACAAAAATTAAGTTGAGAGAACCGAGATTATCTAAGCTCGCTAGCATAATTCGCCATGAATCATCAATTCACCATACCACGGTGTTTTGATCTCCTGCCCCAAATCTTAACCAACTCTCCACACACTTGGTTACAAACGAGGAGCAGCCGAAGCTTCATCCTCGCATCGTTCTACAAAGGCCACACACCATCAAGGAAACTCTAGGTTTCTCGGATAACTAGGTCAAAAAACCCGGCCGGTAGATCACTGTGAACACCTTGCATGCAGCGCAGTGAAGATCTATCTCCCATCCCCACACCGCCGAATGGCTCCGTCGAAGTTGAGCCTGACCTATCCAACACCGGCCACTTTCCCAATGGCATTGCAGGCGTTTGGTGTCTGAATGGGACCCAGGGCTCGTCTCCTAGGAGCTCCAAAGCTAATCAAGTGTCAATTTATTCCAAAGAGAAGGTCTGATCGCGATCACCAGTACGCCGTCGCGGTAGTAGCCACCTTTCCGCAAAGAACAACTCTGAAACCCAAACATGTATATATGCCCGCCCGGTGGAGCCCCGAAAGCTTGATATTCAAGATCTCTTTGAGTGCATTTCATGCAAACAATCATTACGAACAACGAAAATTCACGCTAACGATCATGAAAACGCCTATCAAGTGGCTTGAATTTCTAATGTTATACGTACTTACTTTGTTAAGTACCAATCCAGTGTGTGCATGCATAACATGTGTTGATGGACGCAGATGCACATGTGGGGCCACGGGCGGGAGTACCGCAAGGGCCCGGAGTCGCTCAAGGGCACGCAGACGCTGGCGCTGCTGAAGCTGCCGTGCTACTGCTGCGCCGCCGGGTGCCGGAACAGCGTGGCCCACCCGCGCGCGCGGCCGCTCAAGGACTTCCGCACTCTGCAGACGCACTACAAGCGCAAGCACGGCGCCAGGCCCTTCCGCTGCCGCCGCTGCGCCAAGCCCTTCGCCGTCAAGGGCGACTGGCGCACGCACGAGAAGAACTGCGGCAAGCGCTGGTTCTGCGCCTGCGGCTCCGACTTCAAGCACAAGCGCTCCCTCAACGACCACGTCCGCTCCTTCGGCGGCGACCACCTCCCCGTCGCCCTCGACGGCGCCACCGCCCCCGCCCCCGCCGAGGACCGCCGCATCATACGCTTCCAACGGTGAGATCGTCGACCGGGCCGTACGTCTAGCCGATCGTACTACATAGTAGTAGATCATATTCACGCTCGTATATACGCATGCATCATGCATGCATGCTTGATTTCATCATACATGCAATGCGTGCAAATGCGAGAGGAGCAACGAGGTAAGTGATAGCGCAATAAGGGGGGTTCTCGACCAGTTGCTAAAAGCTGTGAAGTAGCTGAATTTTCTTCAGCCGGACTGTGGGAGCTGCAGGCAGTGCTATTAGCTAGGCTGTCAATGCAGCTTTGTAATGGAGAAAATTTATCAGCTTCACAGGCTAACTAAACTGGTTATTTGGACCTAGTACTGTATACATAGCATTTTGAACATGAGAGATAGCAATTTATGAGTACGTACATAACGTTTACTTGTCTGTTGTAATCTTTGAAGTTTTTGAATTCTCATTACTGCCAAACCCCTGTCTGTTTCTATTGTCTTCAAATGTATTGCATTTGTTTTGATTGGTATAACATTTGTGCAAGCAATAACTATAACAATAAATATATCCTAAATCCTAATAGAGTTAACAGGTAAATCTAGGGTCCAAATATAAGCCGAGATTTGCGATATCCGATGAAAGACTTCGATCATGTGTTCCTACATCATAACATACTAACAAGACCACTGTGAAATTATTCTTCTAATTTTATTGATTCCGGAGTTCAAGCTTTGTCAGTATTTGGTTCATAGTAACAAAATGACAACACAAGAAAGTGGATTTGAATAAAAACATACAGTATCATTTTTATGTCACATAACCCGCATATTATCAAGCAATTAATAGATCAAAGATGGTCAAAATACGTATTATATATTTTGAATTGAACGAGTGTGTTTCAAGAGAAATGGCTTCATTTCGATACTTCTATAGATATAGAAAACATTGTTTATAATTGTAAGTGACCTTTGAAACGGCGCTGTGGATTGCACATTCCCTCCACCACAAGTTTTATCTATTTCGTGATGGAAAAATAAATGTGCCATGTATTTTGGCATATTTATGCTATTTGTTGTCATCTCAATTTGCTTAATCGTAGTTACGACATCTCCATTTGCTAAGGTGGCAGCTTTATCTGGCGCATTCTACGCAAAAAATGACAATTTTACGTATACAACAGGTTATGTCTTATTGTTATCTCTAGTATTTAATGTTTGTTCTAATAAAAGTAAATGATGAATTAAATTATTAAGCATGTGACCAAGGGATGATGCCTAGTATCATAGAGAACAAAAAGAACATATATTCATCTAGATAGGGAAGACAACATTCTTCCTTCCAATAGCCCCCACCTCTATCACATCCCATAGATAAAGTAGGAGAGAAAGTGAGAAAAAATGATCGTCTCAACCATTTTGGGAGCAACCTTATATCTTGCTCATGTTCTGTTATATTTGTGGCACTCCAAATCCCATTTATATCTTTCCTCGTGTCTGAAAGATAGGAACGACATCCATATATTTTCCTATTTCAGGGGAGATTTAGGGAG